TTAGCGTTTCTCACTGCAGATTAAACATATCAGGAAACCATCTGAGTGATTCTTTATGCAAAATTCCATTCGTCTCTAAATTATTGATGTTCGTCTTTAAACTTTCTCTTTGCTGTTTTTTTAGCTACTAGCTAGGCAAGATTGTTGACTGCGTTACTGTGACCAGCAGTCTACACACCAACCTTCAGGGCTGAAGGGTGAATTAGCAGCTCTACATTAACTCCAGTGTTTAAGATCATTTATTGTTAAACTGTGTTGAACGGTCAGCAGAGCTTTATTTTACTGCAAAGGAGGATTATTTTATTCTTACCTACAAATCTAAATCTGCTGTGGAGCTGCAACAGGGCAGTAATGAGCCACATGTTGCTGACCCCTGGACTAGGTTAAGGCAGCCACCTAAGCCCCCATTGAGCCAGGAGCACCATAAAAATTAAGTAGCTTTTCCACTTAAAAAGGTAAATAACTGGGTTAAATGAACATTTTGAGTTCATTAAACTTGTACTATTAGGCTAACAGAAGAATCATTTGTGTTTTACATTAGTTAACGTATTTGATATCATATTCCTATTCACAAATGCATAAACAATTTAACCCCTTAAAGGGCCAGAACACACTGACAGGCCCAAAGTTGTATTACACACTACTATAACCTAAGTATAGCTCAACCAGTTTGCATTGAAGTCCCTGTAGTTGAATAATAAGCCCTAGTTTGTAATAAGCCTGAGATTAAAGGGGTTAAAAATTGCCATTGTTTGCAATTGTTTATTATCATCATAATTGGTAAGTGTGCCATCAATGGAAACTGCCAAAAAAAGCTGTATTTGAATGAGAGGGCTACAGTCATGGAGTCATCGCGACAACACCCAAGCAGCTGGACCTCAGCCTGCAACACTATGAATGGTTCAAACTAGAAAAATGCATTACAGTTTATTAAAGCCCTTAACAAGCCATAGGCCCGAAGTTTTATTACACACTTCTATAACATAAGAATAGCTCCATTAGTTTGCACTGAAGTCCCTGTAGTTACTGAATAATAAGCCTTAGTATGAAATAAACCTGGAATGTTAAGGGGTTAATGTGGTAACTTTCACGCCACTAGAAAAGACATATGGCACATGATGTTGGTAATAAAACATACTTGGATAACTTAAGTAGTCGCCTCAGTAGCCTGACAGGCTGATTTTTCCTCCTCCTCTTTCCTCACCATCATCGATTTCTGTCTAGTGACTGACAGGCTGCACTGATCAGTCTCATAGGAGCAGAATTTATATTCACTCGCTTTAGCAAATCCTGAGAACTGCTGGAAAACATCTGAGGAGTGATGCGTCTGGCAGAGGCGCGCATTTGGCAACCTGAGCTTAGCGTCTTTGAATGTCTGTAATTTGGATAAGTTTGTAATTATGGTAAAGTGAAAAAACATGCTTTTCTGTCACATTCTATGCAGCTTCCCATTGGCTCCTGGCATCATATATTTGCATATTGTTTTACTTGTTTTACTCACCCGTCATTCCCCCTGACCTGTGCATCTCTCTCATACACCAACCAGACATAACATTAAAACTACCACCTCCTTGTTTCTAAACTCATTGTCCATTTCATCAGCGCAACACACACCACCACCACCACCATCAGAATGATCCACCACCCAAATAACACCTGCTCTGTGGTGGTCCTATGGGGGTCCTGTCCATAGATACACAATTTTCAAAGATATGTTTGGTTCCTAAACTTTGCCTCTTAAATTGAGCTCTGAAGCTACAAGGCTAACGTTAGAACAAACACTTGAAGTCAATAATCACCCAGAGTCCAGCTCTTAATTAAGGTCATGCAGATTGTTGATGTGGTTTAAGACCCAGTATGACTTACTGTGAACAATAAAAAATAACAGAACCTCACAGAGTAGCTGAACCCTGGGGGCCCACAACAAATGCTATGGTGATTATTATTATATGACAAAAAAAAAAGATTAAATTATTGCAATATACAATAACGGGCGACTGAAAGTTCTTGTCCTCCTTCAGCAGTCTGTAATTGCTAAGCCTTCTCTAAATGGGCCATATAGTATAATATGATGATTTTATCCTGTTTACTGTATATTTAAACACAGGAAAGGGGGTCTTAGGCAAAGCACACCCCTTTCTCATTACACACAGCCTCTCTTGACCCTTTATTCTATGGCATCGCTCTGAAGAACACTTTGGCACTTTAACTGTAGAGGCATACGAACAGAATCATGACTGCCATGCAAAGGAAATATATTTACATATTTGTTTCAACATATGTTTGAGGTTTATGATATATTTACATGTACTTCTGACATATGTAAACATTAAAAATTGACACTACAAACATTTAATCTACATATGTGCAACTATTTCAACACATTGACCTTTATGTGCATATACTGACATATATAAGTATCAAAAAATGTCACATTTGAAATGTTTTTGAACACATATTTTAAAACATCACATATATTGCACTATATTTTTATTATGAGCAAGTATATGTGCATATGATTTTTTTTCACAGATCATTTGAGTCTGGAGCTGTTCCGGTCTTCCATTCCTCACTCCTATAACTTATAACTTAAAACTGCCAGTTTGCATTGCTTTCCATGCAGATGCTGAATAATAAGCCTTATGTTTGTAATAAGCCTGGGATTTTAAAGGGTTAATGGAACTCATTTTGCTGCCCTCAATGCACTCAATGCTGAAGCACATTGCTTTAAAACAGGCTAGCAAAAGCAGAAAACTACACAGATTGGAGTGCAGCCCATCAGTCAGTCAGTGAGTCAGTGAGTTATGGACATTGACTATTCTTGGTCAGGCAAAACAGGCTTGATGAAACTGTCCACTACAGAGACCAGCTGTGTCCCAGAGCCCGAACGGTAATCTTCCGCAGCTCAAACAGATTAAAGTCTCAGTGCCCTGCGCCTTCTGCCTCACGGACTCACAGCGCATGAGAAAATCATACTCTCCCCGTGCTCTGTGCGCTCGCTTTAGTCCAACTCACTGCAGTTCTTTTCCTTCATGATGCATTAAAGTGATGCTTCTTTTATAAATCGCCATCACGATGGGATCCACGTGGATAAAAAATGGGAGATAATGAAAATTAAATAACTTGAAGCTGTTTAGTCTCCAGAGCAAAGTGATGTTAGGCAAGCTAGTTAGATGATAATGTGTCATAATAAAGTGCCTATTTCATACTGAAGACTTATTTGCTCTGTAAATGCTGATTGTGTTCACAGTTGAGGGAGTAACACACTTTTGCAATACTCTTACTTCTATTTATCTTTAGGCTACGGCTTTCAGATGCGTATCATATTTAAGGTTTGTTTAAATACACTTCATTGTTCCTACTGACTCGTTTTCAGATTTTATAATTGACATTTCTAAACGGGTTTTTTAGTGGCAAGAGCTCCTAGATGAGCTCTTAAAACACTCTGTAAAGGTTTGTGTGTATGTAAAGTCCACAAAGCGTTTTTATTGCTTTGCTTATAACTTCAGGTTGCCATGCAAATTCGAAGCTCAGAAGAACTCAGTCAAAGCACACCATTAAACATGATGATTGCACCTTTTTTTTGGTTTACTTAACTTATTTGCTAAAATTACTAATATAAATCTAGTAACATGTAGTATTTCTTGTATAATCCTTAGTTAGTTGTTTAAACCTGTTTCAGATCAGTACATTTGGATAAGTCCTATAGACTGAAAAGTCTGTTGCCCAAAAAGCTTTCCAGCATTCTTAGTGGTTTGGCTGGTTTCTGTCAACTCCTTAAATGTCCAGGGCCCACCGGCAGACCCCAAGTATTTTTATACACTTCTATAAGGCTAAAAATAGCTCAGCCAGTTTTCACTGAAGCCCCTGTACTACTGAATAATAAGCGTTAACATGCATTAATTTTTAAGAGGTTCATTAACTCTTATTTTTGTAACTAATAAATATAAATCTCTTGGCAAAATTGTTGTTATTGTTGTTGTTCTCACCATGGTGGTGCTTTGTGTTCAGGTTTACAAGCTCATATGCGTTTAGCTATTAGAGTCCTCAGAAATGGGTGATTCTAGTCTTATCAAAGCTATTTAATCATGACTGTACAACCCAGCTCATTCAATATAATAGTGTTGCTTTAAATGCAGCCTATACATTACACACAGAAGAAGCATGAGTGCTATATATGTTCTATCTCTCTCTCTCTCTCTCTCTCTCTCTCTCTCTGTATATATATATATATATATCACCAAAAAGGGTTCATCAGCTGTTGCAAGCTTGACATCGTAACAAGAGCAGAACCCTCTTTGGTGCTATATAGAACCATTTTCAAAAAGGTGTATAGAACCATATACAACGCATTCTCCATCCATCACTATGCAAAGTACCATTTAAGTATGCAGCAGCTCCATATAGAACGCATGGTTCTGAATAGAACCATTGCCTTTACTAAAGAACCCTATATATGATCTAGGTAGAACCATACTAAAGAACTAAAGACCACTATCTATATAGAACCATTTTCAAAAAGGTATATAGAACCATATACAACGCATTCTCCATCCATCACTATGCAAAGTACCGTTTAAGTATGCAGCAGCTCCATAGAACCATTGCCTTTATAAAGAACCCTTGAAGAACCATTTTTTTAAGTGCTCTACCAGCTGAACTGAAACCACTGACAGTGACTGGGCTGTCGGAGTTAACCTCACGTGCTGCAGGAGTGTGGGTGAGTGAAAATGAGAAAGTAACTAGAACTCAGACTCAAAGTTATTTAAGCTCGAATCTGTTAAGCAACTTTGCTTATTTTTTCCGAGGCAACAAGTTTGCAGGTCAGCTACTGTAAGTTTACAGTGAGAAGAGCCTGTTTTTCTGGACCCCGGTCGCACTTGTGGAGCGCAGTCTGGTGGAACTGGTGTCTCCGTCCTCCTCCACAGCAGCCGCACACCCTCACTCACCACAGACGCGCACGTGCATTCAGACGGTTACATTTACGCTCTTTTTCCTACCTTGGCCCCGCGCGCGCATCCCTGCAGCAGCGAGAAGGAAGAGCACAGTCAGTCCGCTGAAGCGCGCGCCGGCTCTGATGCACATGACTGCTGAAGTCGAAGCTCCGATCCGCGCGCTAACGACCCCCGAGCTGAAGAATCTTCCAGCAGCGCAGGCGGATCAGCGTGGACAGGAAGATGTTGGCGGGAAGCCCCTACGCGCGCGCCAGGGGAACAGAGCAGGTGCAGGTCGCTACGAAAACCGAAGCCGTGAGCGATCTGACGGCAGTCATCCGCGAGGCAGCGCGCGCAGTAAGCGGATTGCTCCTCAGCGCTGGAGACGAGCGCAGGCGCGTGGATTCAGCACCGCGGACAGCTCCTAGCGTCAGCTAACGGAACAACTTCAACAGAGCCGAGGAAAAAAAAACACTCAGCGCTGACAAACAGCACTTAAGCAGCACCGGAAAAGACTTAAAGGGGAACTGCACTGATTTTCTGTCTGATCTTCAGGATGTGATCAGAGCGGTTTGGTGGGAAAAGATTCAACCCAGAGAAACTTACAGAGTCAGAGCGGTTCACAGTGGTGATGATGGGAACCAGACGTCTGAAGAGTTTAATGTCTCTAAAAGCTCCCTTACAGAAAGTTAAAGGAAACTGATATCTATATGCGGTCTGAGACATTTTAGTTTGGGGATTTTTATTTTTGGCCTAAAATACATTTTAAAACTCAGATCAGGAAAAACAACTTTGTCGGTTCTGAAACAAAAGTGGTTCTAAACGCATTTAAAGAACTGTATATGAGGGGAAAATGTCAGCACTGAAAAATAAACAGTGGTATGGAAAAAAAAGACAAAAAAAAACAAACCAAAATCTGTAGTGTTAAAAAAGTACTTTAAGAGTGCGTGTTGGAGAGATCTCGAGTAGCGCTGGAAAAATCAGTAGTGCTGCAAAAACAACTAAGCAGTCCTGAAAAAAATAGTAGTGCTGCAAAAACAACTAAGCAGTCCTGAAAAAAATAGTAGTGCTGCAAAAACAACTAAGCAGTCCTGAAAAAATCAGTAGTGCTGCAAAAACAACTTAGCAGTCCTGAAAAAAATAGTAGTGCTGCAAAAACAACTAAGCAGTCCTGAAAAAAATAGTAGTGCTGCAAAAACAACTAAGCAGTCCTGAAAAAATTAGTAGTGCTGCAAAAACAACTAAGCAGTCCTGAAAAAATCAGTAGTGCTGCAAAAACAACTAAGCAGTCCTCAAAAAATTGTAGTGCTGCAAAAACAATTAAGCAGTCCAGAAAAAATTGGTAGTGCTGCTGAAAAGAGCTTAAGCAATGCTGAAAACATCAGTAGTGTTGAAATTAAACTTTAGCAGTGCTGAGAAGAATCAGTGCTAAAACAATAGAGCTGCCAAAAAATTTACGAAGTGCTGATGAAAACAGTAGCGTTAAATGGTGTGCTGAAAAAATCTGTACTGTTGAAATAAAACTTAAGTAGAAAAATGAAAAAAAATCAGCAGGGCTGAAAGTTTCTGTAATGCAGGAAAAAACCTTAAGCAGTATAATAAAAATGTATAGTCTTGAAAAAAAACTTAAGCACATTGGTAGTGTTAAAAACTAATCTTAAGCAGTTTTGAAAAAAAAACAGTATTGAAAAAACTTGCACTGCTGAAAGTATCAGAAATGTTGAAATGTTAAGCAGTCCTGAAAAAATCAGTACTGCTGCAAAAAAGTAGTATTGAAATAAAACTTAGGCAGTGCTGAAAAAATCTGTAGTGCTGGAAAAAATCTTAAGCAGTATTGGAAAAAATTGTAGTTTTAAAAAAAAATCTTCACATCAGTAGAGCTCAAAGCAAATCTTAAGCAGTGCTGAAAAAGTCAGTAGTTGAAAACTACTGCTGAAGACATCAGAAATGTTGAAAACAAATGCAAAGCAGTCCTAAAAAATCAGTAGTGCTGCAAAAAACAACTGAAGCAGAGCTGAAAAAATGAATAGAGCTGCCAAAAAATGTAAGAAGCACTGATAAAAACAGTAGTGCTGAAATGAGTAGTGTTAAAACAAACAAAAATTAGCAGTGTTAAAATATGTTTAAGCAGTGCTGAAAAAATCAGTAGTGATGCAAAAACCCTAAGCATTGCTGAAAAAATCAGTAGTGTAGAATTAAAGCTAAGGCATTTCTGAAAAAATCAGAAGTGCTGCAAAAAACTTAAGCAGTACTAAAAAATTCAGAAATGTTGAAATAAAACTTAAGCAGTGCTGTAAAAATCAGTAATATTAAAATAAAACATAAGCAGAGCTGAAAAATCAGTAGTGTTGAAATAAAACTTCAGCAGTGCTGAAAATATCACTAGTGTTAAAATTTAAGCAGCGCTGAAAAAATTGTAATATTGAAAAAAAAACCCTAAGACTTAAAATCAGTAGTGCTGCAAAAAACTTAAGCAGTGCTGAAAAAATTAATAATTCTCAAATAAAACTTAAGCAGTGCTGAAAAAACAGAAATGTTGAAATAAAACTTGAGCAAAAAATCAGTAGTGCTGCAAAAACATAAGCAGTTATAAAATTCAGTAGTGCTGCAAAAAAACCTAAGCAGCACTGAAACAACTGCTGAAATACAACTTAAGTAGTGCTGAAAAAAACAGTAGTCTTGAAAAAAGCAATGTTGAACAAACATCAGTTATGATGCAAAAAAGCTAAGCAGTCCTAAAATATTTGTAGTGCTGAAAAAAGTATGTGTTAAAATAAAACTTAAGCAGTAGTCCTGTAAAAACGTAACCTGTGCTGATAAAATGTGTAGTGTTAAAATGCAACATAAGTAGTGCTGAAATATCAGTAGTCTTGAAAAAATAAGCAGTAAGGAAAAAATCAGAAGGTCTGCAAAAAAAACTTAAGCAGTGTGCTGAAAAAAAATTGTGCTGCAAAAAACATAAGCAATCCTGAAAAAATCAGTAGTGCTGAACAAACTTTAAGAAGTGCTGAAAAAATTTGTAGCGTTGAAATGAAACTTGGGCCATGCTGAAAATTCAGTAATGTTGAAATAAAACATACACACTCCTAAAAACTCAGTAATGCTGGAAAAACACTTAAGCATTGCTGAAAAACTCAGCAGAGTTGAAATAAAACTTAAGCAGTGCTGAAAAAATCAATAGCGCTGCAAAAATCTTAAGCAGTGCTGAAAAAATCAGTAGTGCTGCAAAATAAGTTAAGCAGTGCTGAAAAAATTAAATGTTGACATAAAACTTAAACAGTGCTGAAAAATGAGCAGTGTTGAAATAAAATTCAAGCAGTGCTGAAAAATCAACAGTGCTGCAAAAAAATCTTAAGCAGTGCTGAAAATCAGTAGTGCTGCAAAAAATATTAAACAGTGCTCAAAAAGTCAGTAGTGCTGCAAAAAAACTTTAGCAGTGCTGACAAAATTTGTAGCACTGAAATAAAAAAGAGTGCTGAAACATCAGTAGTGCTGCAAAAAAAAAGAAGCAGAGCTAGAAAAAACTCATAGTGCTGAGAAAAATTCAGAAGTGCTGAAAAAGTTGCTACTGTCCATAAAGTGGGTCTTTATTGAGCGTTACATCGTTAATGCCCACATTAAAGCGGTTGTGTATTCTTCAGTGGATAATTGCAGATCAGAACTGTGGAGATGAGGATTTGAGTGTTAATGAGAGCTGTTCCAACAATAATGCTTATAGTTTAGGAGCAGCTTTAATGACACGTGAGAAGCAACGTATATGACAAAAACTTTATTAGGCCATCTAGTCCCTCTGGGCCATTACACCCTTTTTTCACGATTAAGCATGATTAGACTCTCCAAACATAACCTGTTAACGATGATCACCTCTGTTCGGTCTTAGTGTTGTTAATGGAAAATCTGCCCGGATAATGAAAACCACCGCCGTGAAATGGAATGACCGGTGTCTGAAAGTGGCCTAATGAAGTTATTATCAGCACTAGAGCTTGGAGATCAGTTTGGCTGCTATATTGTTTTAACAGACAGCTGGAAATTCATTTACTGGGCAGTTAAGATCCACATATTCCCACAAAGAAGCCAAACCAAAGTTAACAGTTAGGGGACAGTGGGTTTGGTCAGCACAGTTTCTGCTCTCTGCTGTACATCCCAGTCATACCGTACAGTAGGATAACACAACTAGTAGCAGATGAAAGCTGAACATCTTGGACTCATGTCAGAAAATATTTCCTGAAATTAGTGCATTCCTGGCTAAATTCACGTGCAATTGTGCCAACCAGCCCCAACATAGTGCACATGTCATGGGGGATAGTTGGCATGATGTTAAACGGCTAAAATTCCAAACAATGCAGCCACCAACATGAATATTTTAAGCTTTTAATTTTAAATCAAACCACGTGTAAAAAATTAATGGCAACCAAAAAGCATTTTTGAATTAATTAAATGTTAGGAATGTTTCATTAATGCTTTTTGTTGGCTCGTACTGACCAGTGGTGGACAAAGTGCACATCTCTAGTACTTGAACTTAGAGATACACTTCATCAAATTTTACTCAAAAAAAGGTCCCTCCATTTATATTTCATGTTAAAAACTCATATTTAATACATAAATAGTTTGAGTTTAAAGTTATGTTAATTGTACCTTGAAATAGACTCACTTATCATAAAATGGCCTTTTGATGGGGTTGAGGTCAGGGCTCTGTGTGGGCCAGTGCAAGTTCCTCCACACCAAACTCACCCAGCCAGGCCTTTATGGAGCTGCTTTGTGCACTGGGGCTCAGTCATGCTGGAACAGAAAAGGTTCTTCCCCAAACTGTTCCCACAAAGTTGGAAGCATATAATTGTCCAAAATGTCTTGGTGCTGAAGCTTTAAGATTTCCCTTCACTGGAGCTAAGGGTTCTAGACCAACCCCTGAAAACAACCACATATCTTCATCCCTCCTCCTCCAAACTTTACAGTTGGTACAGTGCAGTCAGGCAGGTAACGTTCTCCTGGCATTCACCAAACCCAGACTCGTCTATCAGACTGACAGATAGAGAAGCATGATTAGTCACTCCACAGAATACATTTCCACTGCTCCAGAGTCCAGTGGCAGCGTGTTTTACACCACTCCCCCCCAAAGCTTGGCATTGTGCTTGGTGATGTAAAGCTTGCATGCAGCTGCTCAGCCATGGAAACCCATGCCATGAAGCGCCCAGCGCACAGTTTTTGCGCTGATGTTGATGCCAGAGGAGGTTTGGACCTCTGC